AATACTTGAAATTAGTTTAATAGTATACTTTTCAGAACTCAAATTATTTCTGCTCAATTTTATTCCACAGAAGACTTTGAAATGGCAAATTTACCTGTAATTGTTAGTGTATTTCTGTTTTGTTAGTATTGCTAAATGCCAAGTAAAAAACAAAGCTTAAATGTACCTTTAACATAATGGGATTATTAAAATAGGAAAGTTGCTCCAGTGATTTTCCAGTGCATTTTAGTTTTCAGATGTTTATTTTGAAGCAGAGTAATTGTTCAACCATTACGTTAACATGCTTGACAAATCTATGAGAAGTTTGCTGTATGAGCTAACAGAGTTTGTACATTACAAGGTAACTCATGCAGTGGTGCTTAACGACAGTTTAAATTATGATGAATGGACATTTTAAATTCAGATTTATTGTGATTTGTCAGAATCCTCCTTTAGCATGCCCTCTACTTCTGGTATTGTTTTATGGTCATTCCCTTTTCTGGTGACAAGGGCTGTGCATTGTTAAACTGCTATGTATGAATTCATGCCAGCATTCTTTATTATGTGCTTCATAGATTTTTTTTTCAAATGCAGTTTTATTTACAAACTTGAAAATATTTAAAAAATGTTTAATAAAGCTCAAAATTGATAAAGAACATTTTTATGGTACTTTATGGAATTTAAAATTGTTTCAAGAATGGACTGGAGCTTATTTTCATTCCCAGGTGGATTATGTTCCCACTTCTAATGTGTCTGCAATGAGAGCTGGAGCCTGTGAATTTCACCGTTGTTAATCCATTTCCATCCACATTTCTAACGGGAATAAACATGGATAAATGTCGTTCCTAGGTGTCTCTCCTGTAATAAACTGCTCTAAAACTATCAATTTAAATTTAGGTGTTAGAAACACCAAACACTATCTATCTATCTATCTATATCTATCATCTGTCTATCTATCTATCTATCTATCTATCTATCCTATCATCTATCTATCATCTATCATCATCATCCTATCTATCTATCTATCTATCTATCTATCTATCTATCTATCTATCTATCTATCTATCTATCATCTATCATCATCATCATCTTATCTATATCATCTGTCTATCTGTCCATCCATCATCTGTTGATTGACAAAGTAATACCTTAGCTGAGCTGGATTTGTTAATAGGTTCTTTTATGTGTTGTCCGTTGAAATTGATCTCTCTTTGCTCATTGCATTTTGATGCTTTTAGTGTATGTAGCCTTGTCGTAGTCCAGATTGCATTGCACGCATTTGCTTCTCTCCATTTTCTTCTATTCTAGCATGAGCCTGGATACCTAATAAGTGTAAATGTGCCTTTGTTTCTTCATGAAGTAGCTGAGAGCAGAAACCAAGTCTGCACTCTGTCATGGTGCTTCACCCTGTCCCTTGAAAGGGTTTAAATACTGAATTCTACTAATCTTTGCCATGCAATGTGGTGTGAAAAATTTCTATTCTCGTTGTTAATCTTTCACCATTAAATACTACTATATTGCTTCAGTAAATAAAATTTTGCATGAAAGATCTCATATACTTGTTAATTTTGTTTATGGAGAATCACTTTGTATATTCTGAGGGTAATTACTGATCGTTTACCATTTGTTTCTATTAATTAGTCTTTTCAGCCCCCCAGTCAGTGGCATTATGATGTATTTTGTATGTGAGATTATTTCTCTCTCAGGTTATGATGATTTTGATATGCAGGTAATATACCTGCATATTCTGTTATCGTCTAGGAGTTGCATTCATGGCATAATCTGAACATGGATGTTATTCCTTATAGAGTATTGTGGGTGATTAGTGAAATTAGCCAATACTTAGTTGTCTATAAAGATTCTTATTTTAAAACTTTAAATTTTTTTTATTTTATTTTATGTGTATTTGTGTAGTGCCTGCATGTAGGTAAGTGCACCTGTGTCATGAAATGCCCGTGGAGGTCAGACGAGGCTGTTGGATCCCCTGGGACTGGAGTTATGGACAATTGTTAGCTGCCATGTGGGTGCTGGGATTTGAACCTGGGTCTTCTGCAAGAACAACCAGTGTTCTTAACCATTGAGCCATCTCTCCAGCCCCAAAGAGTCTTATTTTAATTTGATACTTTCTATATAGATCAGGTTATTGTTTCAAAGAACATAAACATTTAATATTTATTTTAATACTAAGAAAATAGGGAAAGAAGAATAGTGATTATTGCATGCCACTAGGTTTTCAGATTGTGAGAAGCACCATATAATTATTAAATTATTGCTTAATAACCCTATTCCATAGGTAATGTTATTTTCTACAGTTTAAAAAGCTCAAGCTAAAACTGAATGTACTTTTATCTACTAACCCTGTATTTTATTTCCTATAGAACATGGAATACAGAAAATAGACTTAGCACATGGTGAATTAATGGAAACCTAAGCTGAGGCTTTTGTGTATGATGGCTGGTTAGATGTCCATCAAACTATCTCTTTTGCTGCAAACATAACAAAATTTTGAGCAATATATTCTAAACACTCTTAAATGTATAGTTAAATTTGCAAAAAAAAAAAAAAAAACCCAAAACTTTAAAATGCTTTAAAATGAAGTCACTCAACAGAGTGGTTTATTTCTTCTGAACCCATCCCCACCCCAGGCATTTGCTTATGCTAATTACTTGGTGTGGACAGCTTTGAAATTTTGGACAGAAGAGTGGTCAAATGCTGTAACAGGTGCTCCAGTAGGACCCTGGAGACAGTCTGACTGAGAGGAATGTAGACAGTGGAGGCAAAGCTCATGAGGTTTCAGAGGGGAACACATGCTATTAGCAGCTGACCTACAGGCTGTTCATCAACCTACAGGCTGATTCTGCCTGTGTCTTGAGAATGATGTGCTTGAGGTTGAATGACAAGGTAATGGGTTAATGTCTCTTGTGAAAAAAATTTTAAAAATTTCAAGATAGCATAACATCGAGAGTGTAGCATTGTTATTACTGATTACTTTCATGTCAATCTACAATAAAAAAGCAAATGATATAGTTAGTGGCTTTGGTTTTAATAGCTGCATAGGGACAGAAGGCTTTGGTGTGTTAAAAGTGAGGAAATGGTCAGTCATCATCTCCATTAAACCTCTGGTGCTTTGCACCACTGCTGCCACACAGGATAAAAGTAGTCATCTGAACCTCGAGGGCAAAGATCTTTTTTAATGAGTAAATGAAGCAATTCAAAGCACCAGCAGCAAAATATCAGAAAGGGCTTTGAAACTGAAAATAGATCCAAATCGCACTTCTTTCAAGCAAATTGGTAAGATTATAAGCTAATGTTTTAACTATGGCTGACTAATGATTAGCCATAGTTGAAGTGTGATTTTATACATTCAGCCACATATATAGAAAGAAGACATGAATGAAACATTCTGAAAAAGACTGAGAGTAGAAAAGACTGTCTACAGATACGTTTCATTGGAGGCCCCAGAGAGAGAAGAGTGCACAGAACAGAAGATAGGAAGTATGAGTTAAGATGGCTGCGATTCATCCAGAACCAAAGAAAGAGGTAGATCTTTAGATCTAGAAATCACAATTCACGTGTGAAATTTGAGACACCAAAGACAAAAGGAAGATCTTAAAAGTTTCCAGAGAGAAGATAAAGTACAGGACAATTAAACAAGTTCCCACCTCATAGTATCATGTGTCAATGGAAATCAAACAGCAGCATGCTAATGACAGCATTATACTAATGAGTGATTCAAGAGGGAAGCAGAGACACGAACCTGCCTTCAGACAGAGTGTTTACCTCCAAACCATTCTCCCTTACTATGCTTTAAAGCCGCAGGGACATGCAGGTATAAAGGCGTTCAAGATGTGATTTGGTCTCTTCAAGAAGGGTTTTGTAATTTCCTACTGTTTTTCTAAGATGTCTCACCTTGGCAGGTGGTTAAATTTGGAGAAAAATTTCACTGTGGAAATTTTGGATTTTTATCTGTTTCAGTAATAATTTAGTAGAGTCTAAAACTTTCTAAAATGTTAATGACTTTTTAAAGATGCTGTTTTTCCTTTAAATTATTTTGTTTCTGATATTTAAGAGAAAACAGTTACCAAAGGGAAAGTTCCATCTCTTCTCTTCCTCCCCAATTTCAGTCATACATCACACTATTTTAATTTCAGTGAAAAGTGTTCTCTCACTTGGTCAGTCAGTTCTCTGGGTAGACTCTCAGAGAGGTTCCTGCCTTTATGTATTATCTGCAAGAAGATGCTTAAAGTGGAGACCCCGTCTATCATCTTCAGTGTTGGTGGCATGTTACTGAATAGTGTTCAGTCTGAGCTGATACAAAGATGCATAGAAAATGTGTATGAGAGAGGTAGTACCACCTTCCTAGACAGCATTGCAAGACCCCGGGGAACTTCCCAAGCTGCAAATCCCAGAGCAGTAACTGCAGAGATGCAAGCCCAAGGTGGGCTGCAGGGTTCGCCTCCTTATCTTGACACTTCTCACAAGCAAGTCCCTGCTGTCTTCACAAAGTTTTCATTGTTCTCATATCACCTAGATGCTCATTTACTTGTTTATAAAATAAACCTGTGCGTATATCCTAATTTTAAAGGAAATTTGTAGATCAAAATAAAAGAAAATTTAATCCTGCCATAGCTGCTATCAAGAGGTTGTAGTTGTAATAACCTGTGAGCCAGGAAGATACAGTGACAGTATCTGTTGCCTGTCACTGTCCCTGGATCTACCTTCTGTTGTAAAATAGGAAAACCAAACTGAAGGAATTAGTGAAGATACGCCAGTGCCACATACAGTCTCCCCTTGTAATCAGTCAAAGCGACTGAGGTGGATGCAGAAAGAACACGAATGTAACCTCCAGGTGGTTCTGTGCTTTGTCGAATCACTTTTAGTAACAGTGGGAGTAAGCAGTGATCTGAGGGCTTAGGGTTAGCAGGACCCTGTGTTTCTGAGTGTCTGCTTTTCAGTGCTGACCATAAGAGACATTGTTTTGTGCCTCATATTTAAATGATCTTTGTTCTTTTTATTTTAAGCTCTTCTAAGGGCCTGTGCTGATGGAGGTGCCAACCGCTTATATGATCTCACCGAAGGGGAGAGAGAAAGGTACGCTTTTCCTTAGCCAGTGTCTGTACATGCCTCCTTCCTGTTCTTCCTTTGTTATCTTCTTCTGGATACTGTTCCTTTTCCTTCACATTCTTTGCAGAACACCTGCTCTGAGAGACAGCTGCTCTAAGAGACAGCTGCTCGGCCATGTTGTGTTAGTTCATTTTTGAATGAGTCTCTTATAGTACAGTTAGGCTCTATTCTTTTTTAAAAATCCAATTCTATCACTTTAAAGCCTCATTAAGTTCCATTATCAAATATTGAAATTTGTGAGGTCTTTGATGATTGGCTAAAATATAACTTCAAATGGCCATTTAAGTTGTTATCCAAACAATTTAAATGAATAAAAACTGGACTCCTTGTAAAAGACATATATTCTGCTGTAGAAGATTTGAGGTTTTATATATTAGCATTGACTAAATCTCAGCAGAACTTACTCTTTCTTAATTACTCCTGAGTTATGCACACATATATTTTTGGAGAGAGCATATTTGTTAGTGATTCCCTCTCTGTGTTGTCTTCAGTTTCAGGATCTTATGGTGAGATATTTTTAGATGAGAGAATATGTTTGATGGATTCAGATGTCAATATTAGTTCAGTGTGAACATGTATCTAGTCCAACTCTGTGGAAACACAGGAATTTATAGTGTGGTTATAGGTAAATGATTTATGAAATGTCTTTCCATCCCTATTACATGTGTTATTGACTATGTTGGAACAATTAGTGTTTGAAAAATCACCTACTTGTTGCCAAAACAAACAAACAAAAATATTATGACATAATACTCCATCTGTTGGTATTAAGTGATGACATAACATTCCCTTTGTTTGTATTAAGCATATGTGGTTTGGAACAATGTATTTTTCTTTGTGGCATCAAAATGTTTAACTTCAGCTCTAATTTTGGAGCTGCTGTGTTTTTCTGTTTTTTGGGTTTTTTTTTTCTTTTTCGTCTTTTTGAGACAGGGTCTCCCTGTAGCCCCAGCTGTCCTGGAACTCACTATGTAGAACAGGCTGGCCTTGAACTCACAGAGATCCACCTGCCTCTGCCTCCTGAGTGCTGGGATTAAAGGCATGCACCACCATACCAGGCCCTTTTTTTTTTATTTTTACAAAAACTTTATTGAGAATTTCATACACGCATATAAGCTGTTTTAATCAAATCCATGCCCACTCCCTCCCCTCCAACTTTCCCCCGTCTGAAGAGGTAACCCTAAAATCTTTTAAGGATTAGATACAAGCTCCCAAACACTTTTGACATTTTTGGCCTTTGGAACAGATCACACCATCCTCTGAAGAGTTTACCCAAATTGCCAATAGGGAATCAGGACGCAGGCTGCTCTGGCTTCTTCCATGCTGAACTGGGGCGCAGGGTGAGGCAACTGGAGTACCCCTTCAGAGGGTCTATCTAAAAGACTCCCAAATTGCATAACTCCTATCTTGAGGAGGGAAAGGAAGTCTTTGAATCCTGAATAGGAGATGTGAAGGAGAAGTAAAGGCAAGAGTAATTAGCATTACAAGTTCTAGACAGGGAACTAGAAAAAAGTCAGAACAGGGCAA